CCGTCCTTCCCCTTCCTGCTCCCTCCCCTCTTCCCTCCCCCCTCCCAGCAAGTACGCGCGACGCCGCCAGGCAAGCCGAACGAGCTCCCGCTCTTCACTCTCCGCTTCCCCCCCCTCTTCCCCGGCGCCTTCATCCTCAGCCTGCTCCCCGCATGTCCGCCAATGCCCCCCTTCGCCAAGGGCCGACACGAGCGCGCGAAGCTATTCGCGGTTCGCGATTCGCGACTCGTCATCCTCATCCTCATACTCAGGGAGAGCGGGGAGGGGGGGCGCGAAACCGCCAAGTCCCTCGCGCTTCGCAGTGCGCGACGCGCGAACATGGTTACCCTTGCCCCGCGCGTGGCAAGACCGAGACCCTTCGCGCAGCCACGCGCAGCGCACGAGGAGGGGCAGAGCCCCGCTGGTTCCGCCCGCCGAGGTCACCCGCGCCATGAAGATCTGCCACGGTACCGCCAAGGCGTGCGGCGTCCAGGTGGGCGACGCCAAACGACGGGTTCGACTGCGCCGACATTCGCGCGCAAGTTTCCCGCGCAAGGTGTCGCGTAATCGCCCTCGCTTCAAATGCGGGGTGCCGCGCTGGCGGCCCGCGTAAGGCACCGCGTAAGGCCGTTACGTCATCTCGCGCAAGACCCGTTGTTGATCGTCGCTTAGGTGGAGGGGTACGAGGACAGCGCGTTCCTCAGGGCCCGCGCGCGCCTCTTGTGTCGAAGAAGAGCTGCACAAGGTTAAACTGTGAGAGGTCCGCGCGGATTTCCTGGATCGGCGCTGGGCCCTCCTGGCGGCGCCTTTGGCGCTGCCCGTGGCGCGAATTCCAAGAAACCCGCGCGTACCTCCCAAAGTTGTTGTTTATGCAGGTTTTGCTCTTCTGGAGCAGGCTCAGGGTTCGTAGGTAAAGGGCTTCGGAAGTTTTTGCTAGTTTGGGGTGGTGTTCCTTCCTCGGGGTGTTTTTCAGCAGCTGCGCCTCGCCGAGCGCATTCCCAGGGTCCCCTGGTGCCTGGGTTGTCCCGAACGTCTGCTGGAGAGTCGAGTTGTGACCCTTAAGCCAGGGGGCAACGTTATGGGAAGAATAAGCTTAGATGGGGGATGCATCGATCCCCAATCGCCAATTGATCGCCGGTGGCCCGATAGCCCGCCCCGAACATGAACTCGATGGTTCGGCATCGGGAGCTCCAGCGTTTCTTTTGGCATCACTATGACAGCATCACCGATCCATTGGCGATGTATCGCCGATTCCACGTCGATGTCCCTCTTCTGAGCCAACCGCTCCCCCTTTCGTCCCGACTTAGTCCCCGCACGCATGGGAGCGCCAGCGAACACACCTGCGCGTACCGATCCCGGCCATGCCGGTCTTGGGGGTCCAGGGTCAGTTCGCACGCCTTCCTGGTTGGGCTGGGTGGACGCATGCCTGGCGGCGCACAGAAAGGGGTGGCGCCAGGGGGGAGGATTGGCTACTCTGCTGCGCCCGTTTTGAAACGCAGCACGTGCTGTGTTCAAAACGTCCGTGTTGACGCGCTGCGTGTTGGCTCAACGTGTTGGCTCGCGTTTCGGCGATCGTATCGTGCCAAGAGTACGTTTTTAATATGCGTGTTGAGTTCCGTGTCAACGCGCTACGGGTTGCGTGTTGCGTATCGGGGCAGCTAAGGTTGGAGGGCTTCGAGACGGCGTCGGGGCTTCTAAGAAGGCAGGGGGGCTGCTTAGAAGCCCGCGCGAACGATAAGGGGGGATAGGCATAGGGGGAGGTGCATCGACCCCCCATCGCCCACTGATCGCCGACAGGGGCACGATGGCCCCAACTTGCACAGGAAGGTGCATATTCACTATCGAGGTCCTATCGCCGATCTATCGGCGATGTATTGCCGATTTCATGTCGATGCGGTCCCCCCTACACCAGTCCCCCCCCGCCGCTGCCCCTCATTCCGGGAAGCCTCCAGGGCCTTTGCGAGGGCCCCCCTGCCTTCTTGGAAGCAACGCTGCCTCCTTCTGGGGCAGCTCCCCTCGCGCTCCGCCCCATCCTTGCGGGCGACGCCCGCCTACACCCATCCTGGGCTCTGGGGAGTGGGCCTGGCCAGAACCTGTGCAGGTGACACGTCGGCCGCCCTTCTGCGCATGCAGTCTCTCGAGCACGGCCGAAACGAGGAGATCATGTCGGATGGGGCTATGACGAGGGGTCAAGATGCGTTCCAGAGTTCCAGAGCGTTCCAGAACTCTCTTAGAGCGTTCCGGAACGCTCTGAGAAGGCCGCGGCGCCCGATACATCCCTTAGGACGCGGCGCCCTCCTTCGCATTCGGGGGCACCGCTTGAGGGTGATAGGCATAGGGGGGAACGCATCGCCCCCTAATCGCCCATTGATCGCCGATAGGGGCCCGATAGCTCCACCCTGCTCATGAACGTGCGGATTGGCTATCGGGGCCTATCGCCGATCTATCGGCGATGTATCATCGATTCTAGGTCGATGTTTTTTCCCCGTCTGTGGCAGTCCCCTCCTATCGTTGCCCCTCACGCATGCAGCCTCTCGAGCACAGCCGAACGGAGGAGGTCATGGTCTGTGCGAGGGATGTGCTGCCCAGTGCTGGGGTGGGGGGGTGAGGGATGCGAGGGCAGCGCGGCCCGCATGTAGGCTCTCGGGCAAGTTCCGAGGAGGGCGAGCTGAGGCAGCGTTCGTTGGCCTGTGGGATGCCTTCTCGCCGCCGAGGCCGTGACTTGTGCCAGGCGCGTGCTGTGCAGGTGGTGTCGACGGTGCGGCCCTCGTGCAGCACAGCAGGAACGGTCCGCCGACGCGCAGAGGGTGCACGTTTTCCGTATTCTTCCTGATCGTGTCTGCATTTGTCGTATGTTTGATTGGAAGAGCTATGACTTGCCTATGCCCTGTTTGGGCGCCTGGATTCCCTGCTCGCCAGAGGGGGGCCAGCTCAGGGGTGCCGCTGTGGCGCCATGTGCAGCCCGCTCTGCCGCAGCTCTCTCTTAGGACGGCGCGAGGGCGCGGCCGTGCCGCTCTCGCGCCGCGCTCGCCGCCGCTCTCGCGATGGACACGGTGCAGCTGCGCGTCCTGGTCAGCCACGGCCACTCGCCGGAGGCCGCGGCCGCTGGCCGCAAGCAGGCCGCGCTCGGGCTCTCTGTGTGCGGGGGGGGGGGGGGCGAGCAGCCGGGCCAGGAGCTCCGGGGCGGAAAGGAGCAGCCGGGGCCAGGAGCTCCGGAGCTCCGGGCCAGGAGCTCCGGGGCACCAATACCGCAATCTGCGCCTCGTCTGCGCCTTTGGGGGCCTCCTGGGAGGCCTTCGTCGCCACGGCTGGATTCGCCTTGAAATCCTGGGCAGAACGCACCGCGGGAGAGGTCCAGGGGGCAGCGGTGTCGGTACCGTTTTGTTCCCCCAGTGGGACCCCCTCTTTGGTATGGAGGGGAGGGTTTGGAAGGGAGGAGGGGGTAGATGGAGGGAGCAGGATGATGATTTCGAACCGACGGAGATAACGTCCAGGGAAGCAGAGAGAGGGGGATCAGAGAGAGGGAGGGAGGGAAGGAGGTGGAGGGATGATGAGGAGCGGGATGACCATGGAGGAAGGAAGTAGGAGCATGATGGAAGAGGGCCGGGATGATCTCATCCCATACCGAATCTGTTGACCTTGCCCCTAGCTTTTTCAGGGCTTCCCCCAGACTTACGTTCGCCAAGAGGCTTCCAGAGACGTTCGTTGCTCTTACAATCAAGACGCTGAAGCAAGGGATACTTGGGGCTCAGAAGATTCTGGTTTTCGGGTTACTCAGGCATAGGTATCGGAGACCTCTTTGGCGTCGGCGCACTTCGACGCAACCATGATCTGTTCAATCACATTTCCATAATGCGTTTCACGGCATCTCTGGCCCACGCAGCATCCGACGCCAGTTGAATGAATTCGGCGGAGCCAGGGTACTTGTACTGCGGCGTGGGTCAGACTCGACAGATGATGGTAGCATCAATTGCGTAGCGTGCTATGGCTGGTATGCCTGGCACGCCCAATGTCAGTGGAGACATTGTGTGTATTGTTCAAGCCTGCAGACATCGGTCTTCGGAGCCCTCTGTTGGGGATTGCTGAAATCCGGCGACTTGATCCTGGGTCGTTCGTTGTTCGAGCCTTGCAGCTTCAGGCCGTCTGTTTTCGATAGCCATCTTGGGGCAGACTTTGGGCTCTCCTGGGCCATCTTTGGACGCCCAAATGGAGGAGGCGTGGTTGAGGAGGGGGAGCAGGGGGGGAGGAGAAGCCAAAGTCAGCCAAACGAAATATCGAGGAGGAACAGCCCGCCAGACCAGCCGAGCCCTGCCATTGGAAGGCTGGAGGTCTGGGAGCCCAGCCATGGCCAGGGCGACCTAGGGAAAGGGCGAGGGAGGGGAAGACGAGGAGGAGGAGGAGGAGAACATGGCTGTGTCGTCCGTCTCCAAGCACTGAATGTGCGAAGATCACTTTGCAGCCGAAGATTCGGGATCACCCTTGCCCCACCAGCTAACGCATTGGAGGACGAGGATCAGGAGGATGAGGCGGAGAGGGAGGAGGAGGAGGAGGAGGAGGAGGAGGAGGAGGAGGAGCGGGGGCGAGGAGGAAAAGTCAAAGGCAGTCCGGCCGAAGAAGGTTGCAATGTAGGACAGGAGGGGTACTCAGGGAAACGGATCCTATAGTCCCCAGGGTTTTCCACAGGACAAGCTCTTCATCCTGACCCGTTGTTTGATGGTCCCGCGGGCCCGACGAGGGCCCAGCTCCAGGACCCCTGCCCTCTAGCACCTGTTTCGTTCATGCCAGGTCCACAGGAACGGGAAGCGACACCACTACAGTCGAACTCGATAGTGATGATGAGCAGCCTTTCCAAGGGAACGTCCTGCATCCTTGCCTCCTCGGTCCATCCTTACCCCTTTCGTTTGCCGCGCCCCGCTCGAACAGTATCGACATGGCCTTCCTAGGCCCTGGCATCTTTACCGTGCATCCATACTAGCAGTGCTGATTGTACCTCCCGTAGCCGTTTTGGCTCAAGAGCGAGTCGTTTTTTTTGTGCTGAAGCATTTGAGCGTTGCATGCGCGCGATTCTAGAATGCTCTTCATTTCTGCGAGTCAAAAATTTACGGTTGCGGGCCGATGTCTTTTTTTCACAACGAGTGTTCAGCAGAGTCATGTCGAAGGGCGGCGGGCGGCTCAAGGGCTGCGGGAAGGCTTGCGGTTTCAAGGGCAAGGGTTCCGACGGCGGGCAGTTGGGGTCCTACGCTGTGGGCTCGGGCGTTGATGGTGGTGGCTCTAGCCTTCCGCCTCCTTGGGCCGCGTTGCAGCCTGGCCTGCAGCCACCCAGCGATGCAGCCCCTGCTCGCTGGACCTGCCCGTCATGCGGCTGCAAGAAGGATGAGTGGCATTGGCGATGTCGCAAGCACTGTGGCGCTTCGAGGACGTGGCTGTGCCACCACGGGGGAGCAGCGGGCAACCAGTAACATGTCCGATCACGGGCGCCCCGCGGAGCTCCTGGAGAAAGCAGGTGATGTGTCTGGTGGGTCCAAGCACCGAGCTTTGGCCAAGCCGCCCCCACCGCCCAAGGAGCCAACCCTGCAGCACCAAGTGTCCATGGCGCACTCCAGGATGCGCGCTGTGGAGAAGCCGCAGCGAGATGCGGTACACCGTTGCGAAGTGTGGAGTCTCCAGAAGTTGAGACAGCGCGGGTTCGTTTCTAAGTTGGCGGAGGAGTTGGAGCAAACCGAACAAGAGCACCGTCGCTTGGTCAAGGCCCTCCATGCCGAGGCTGTAGCAGCGGAAGAGGCTTTTCCTGCTCCGAGCAAGTATACCTTCTCGTCCATTCCCGACGTGAGTTCCACGAAGGCGTTGGTCATTGACCGGGCAAAGTTCCTTGGGAATTTTGATGATTACAAGTTGTCTGAGACCGGCAAAGACCAGCTGGGCAAGCGAGGCCAGCATGATGGAGATGGCGCAGTCATTGTTTCCAAAAGCGTTGTAAGAGGCGGAACGCATCAAGTCTCAACCGCGAGGACCTCGGCGGGCTGGCCAAGAAAAGGAAGATTGATGAGCCAGTTGAAGCACGTGGTGCCGACCAAGAGGCCACGGGGCAGCCAGCGGCAGCTTTTGCTGATGGCGCCAGTGGCGCGGCTGCCGCGGGCCAGCAGGCTGGTGCAGGTCAGGTGGATGTGGCCAAGGAGGCAGCTGAGCTGTGGGAGCTTGCTGCGAGGGTCATGCGGCTTCCTCACCCTCAGCAAGCTTCTCCCCCTGCGAGCGCGTGAGCGCTGGCAGGGGGGTCGCGATTCCGAGTCAATGCTTTCTCCGCGCGGCGACATCCTTTACCGAGTGGCACTACGACGGCGCGCCGGGGACAGGCGTCGAGCATTTCGGGGTCACCGCGCCCTACTTCAAGGGCGATGACAGCTTTCAGCGGGACAGCCGTTGGCAGGAGTCAGCAGATTAGGCCCACTTCCCATGCGCAGCCCCATTCGCGGCAGTTGGTGGTCTCCTTCGACATAGTCGTGAGCGCGGTCGATTGGTCGGCTCCATGTTCTCTGCTAGGTCAGCCTGTGACTCTGATATGATGGCTTGCTACGCTGGTCCGGATCCCGTCGAGCGCGGCTCGGCGTTGGACGCTTTTGGGGGCATTCCATTTTGTCGGGGGGTTTTAGTTTCAGATCGGCATGGTGGTCCCAGCTTTGGCGAGACGTTGCCTTGTCAGGCTTCTCGGCCATTCCGCTGGACCCCCCCCCGCGCTCGCACGCGTTGAGTCTTTCATTGTGCGAAGGCCGCGCTGCGAGGCCTGGCGCGTCGCGCCCGGCCGGAGAGCGAGCGCATTTTGGATTCGAGGTCGGGCGATTGCAGCCACCTCTCACGCAGCGGGCCTTCTACGGGCGTTACGTCATTTGGTTTCTCCTTCCCTGCCAGCGCCTGTCCTGTGCCTGTCGACGTTGAGCAGTGCAGCCTCGTCGAATGCATCAGCGGTCCCTCCACCCCCCTGGCGAGTTCTGTTTCCTCGGGTTCGGCAGCCTGTTGAGAGCAAGGGGGGCGCTGCTGGAGGCGCTCGCGTTGCGACCTCCATCGGCGAGTTGCAATTCCCCGGCCACGAGGAAGAATCTCTTCGAAGAAGCCGGCGGCTCCCACCATCTTGCGCCAAGAGCGCCGTCTCTCAGGGCTGGTGAAGATATTCGCTGGGCCTCGGCGAGTTGCAATTCCCCGGCCACGAGGAATAATCTCTTCGAAGAAGCCGGCGGCTCCCGCCATCTTGTGCCAGGAGCGCCGTCTCGCAAGGCTGGTGGAGATACTCGCTGGGCCTCGGCGCCGCGTGCTCGTCAAGAGGGTGGAAAAGGGCGTCTTCGCCCCCTGCCGCCGACGCGTCGGCGGGCCCTGCCTCGGCGGGCGCCCGCGCCGTGGCTGAGGAGGCCCGCGTGGGCCCCGAGGTGGGTCGACGGTCGTGGCTGGGCGAGCCGCGGCAGGCGCCCCTTAAACCTTACTCGTATGGCGCTCTCAAGCCCGTGCCTTTTCAGTACGCGTGTCAACGTTTCGCCCCTGTTGGGGCTCGTCAGGACTCGAATGAAAATGGCAGCGGCATGCGAACACAGCAAGTGCATGATCGACACAATACTGTGTGCAATGCGATACGGCAATACTGCGTGCAATGACTCCCCCGCGTGGCCTTAGCTTCCTTTGCGCGCTCGGCTGATCTGCGTCGTGCCGGGGAGCTCTCCGAGAGAAACGTAGACATGTTGGTTCCCGGCGGGCCGCGGCAGGCGTCGTGACTCCCCCGCGTGGCCTTGGCTCCGTTGCGCGCTCAGCTGATCTGCGTCGTGCCGAGGGGCTCTCCGAGAGAAGCATAGACATGCTGGTTCCCGTCGGGCAGCGCATGTCCGCCCCGGCCGCGCCTTCCTGCGCGGGGGCGGATTCCAAGTTGTCGTAGGTTTGTGGGTGTACTTGCGGGCGTTCACGCGGACCCCATTGGGCGCGCGCGCGTTGGCGAAGGCCCCCCGTCGACGTTGGGCCAGTTCGTTTTCTGAGGGAGGTTTCGGGGCGCCGACTAACAGATGAACGGTCTGCCGAGACATGTGTTTGAGTCCCCATCGTTTTGTGCAAGTGGTTCTCCACGGGGCTCTGGCGAGGTTGAATGGGCTCAGCTTCTTAGGGGCCTACCCCATTTCCTGTGACGACTGGCTTTGACCCGAAACCCGCTCCTCCTGATGGGTCTCGCGCCTGCGAATAATTAACCGATCAGGAACGCGTTTCTTTATTGCTTGGGGCATGACGGGCGTCACGCCCCCCCCCCCCCCTGATGACGTAACGCTCCCCCTCAGTGCGTTCCGGGCACTGCCGCCGTGCGCATCGTGATCCGCATAGGTGTCCGCATCGGAATCCGCATAAGAGTGTGGTCCGCAGTCGTCGTCGTCGTTGTCGTCGTCGTTGTCGTTATCGTCGTGGTCATCGTCGTCGTCGTCTTCGCCGTCGTCGTCGCCGTCGTCGTCGCTCGTCGCTCGTCGCTCGTCGCTCATCGTCGTCGTGCGCGCGGACGCAGCTGGAGTGTTTTTTTTCTGGGCCGATGAGGGCAATCATCTGGGGGGGGGGTGGAGGGGGGCCGATTGCGTCACGTTTCGCGCCGGCGGCGTCTGGGAATGCCCAGGAATGACCGCGGACGCGTAGCAGCAGCATGTCGGTGGCGATCTGCACCACAACGCCTGTGTACACCACAGTGCCTGCGTGCACCACAGCGCCTGTGAGCACCATGCCGCCTATGTACACCACAGCGGCCGCGTGCAGCACAGCGCCAGTGTGTGCCACAGTGCTTGCTGGCACCACAGCGCCGGTGTACACCACAGCGAATGCGTACACCACGTCAGCCGTGTGCAACACAACACCATTGTACACCACAGTGCTTGCGTGCACGTCAGCGCTTGTATGCACCACGGCGCCTGTGTGCACGACAGCAACCGTGTGCAACAAATCACCCCCGTTGTGTATACAGTTATATAACCTTTTATGACAAAAGGGAGCGTTTGTGGGTTCAACAGAAAGCGCATGTTTAATGTAGGAGTTATGGAAAAAGGAGCGCCGCTGGAATCTACGAGTCCTCCGGAGTCCGCCCGCATCATCCTAACTCTTCCCATCTGCGTCCAGGAGGCTCCAGCTAAATTGGCCGTCCAAGAACCAAATGTATTGATTCAATCGACCATTCTGCGGTGCACGCTGAGATGCGCACGTGCGCTGTAGCGCCGAGCCGCACGACAGAGGGGAAGGGTGAGGAAGGATCACAGGCGCTCTGGTGTTCACCAGCGCTGCGTTGCACGCGGGTGTTGTGGTGCAGCCAGGCGTTGTGGTGTGCGCAGGCGATGCGGTGCACGTAAGCATTGTGGTGTAAACAGGCGTTGTGTTGTACATTGCTGCTGCGGTGTACACATTCGCTGTGGTGTACACCGGCGCGGTGGTGCACGCAAACACTGTGGTGTACACAGGCGGTGCGTTGCACACGGCTGTTGCGGTGTACGCAGGCGCTGTGGTGTACACAAGCGCTGTGGTGCACACGAGCACTGGTGCACACATGCGCTGGGGGGCAGATCGCCACCTATATGCTGCTCGCGTCGTTGTCGTCGTCGTTGTCGTCGCTCGTCGCTCGTCGCTCATCGTCGTCGTGCGCGCGGGCGCGGCTGTGGTGCTGGAGCCACACGGCGGGGGGGAGGGCGTCACGTCGTACCCCCGCTCCAGGCATCCTTCTGCGTTGCGCAGGGTGGCGCCCGCGGTGCAGCGGCGCTGTTCGGGCCATGTTGCGCCGCCTGCGCTGACGAGTCGGAGGCTGAACTGACCCCAATGACTGGTGCTCGGCTGCCTGCCTTTGGTTCGAGGCCCAAGGGGCCTCAGTTGACGTGGAGGACTATTTTGGGCAGGGGCATGGCCACCAAAGATCCTGACCATCATGCGGTTCAGAGGATTAGCGTGCAATTCAGGGCCTTCGATCCGCTCCTCGAATTCGAACCAAGGTTGCATTCGGCTGGCCGACGATATTGCCGAGACTCAAATGTGGCCACACAGGTATGCGGAGCATGCTTGGCGTGACTTGTGCCGCGGGATACACCGCAACCCCGGGAGGGGGCAGATGGTCGTCAATGTAGGCACGGTGCGAGAACAGTTCGGCTCGGGTGGAAGCCGTGGCCCAGAGCCTGCCCGCAGACAACAGGTTTCCCCACCACCCAGAGCTGTTTGCCCTGTGGCTTGTGCTGTTTCAACGGAGGTGGAGGCGCCCCCTGCCGGCTCGGAGCCCCCGCCGTCTCGGAGGAGAATCGTGAGCAGGGCCGCGAGGTCCGAGTCGCCGCGCGGTCTCTTCGCCTTCTTCTTGAGGCGGCCAGCTGCGGCCGCCCCTGCGGCGATCCGTGCGACTTGGAGTCGGGATCTGACTAAGCACTGCTTTTTCCTTCCTGTCCTCCTGGCCCATGGGGCCGTCGGAGGCAGGTCCGTGGTTCGCTTCTCGCACCGCTGGCATGGTGTTGCCTGCCGCTCGGTGCCCGAATCACGTGGCAGTGATGGCGTTGAGGCCAAACAAGCAGTTTGGAGTGCACCACCAGGCCACCGGGGGAGCCACCTCCAGTGAGGAGGTCCACGAGGCCTCGAGCGGGAGGGAGGGACCACACAACCAGGAGGACCCCCGCGGGCCCCTCACAGTGGTGGTGGTAGTTTCGCTGTTCCGTTTCTGCGACCCGACGTTGCGAAGACGATGCGGCATCGCCAACAATCATGACCAGAGCACTAGACCCAATCTTCCGGCGGCATTCTTCGAGCCAGATCGATATGTGATGGTGCCAGGGCCCGAACTTGAGCGAAAATTCGGCTGGGTGGCAATGGGGGGTGACCTACATGGGTGACCTGCATGGGCTGGCCCCTACGTGCTCCAAAAGGGGCCCCAAAGGGTATTTTGATTGACCTTTCTCCACCCCCACTCAAGCCCGCCCAGTACCACCCGCCTGGAAAACGCCTGGTGTGGAACAAGTGCAGCGCCCGGATCCCAGAGGGGAGTCGCGGGGAGCCTTGGGCCTCGCGTAGTGGGAGTGCGATGAGTGGGGGGGGGCAGCGAGAGCTGCAGAAAAGGGGCCCCTGAGGGCCCCCAAGGGGCACCTTCGGGCCCTCGAGGGGGCCTTCGGGGCCCGAGAACTGCACCGCCCTTCCCCTAATTGATCGCCTCCCCACCAAGCGCCGCCCAAGGAACTGGACAAGAAACGGCGCTGAACCCCGGAAACGAAACGCAACATGGAACTTGTAACGCACAACGTTCCTTTCGTTCCAGGGCCCACTAGAACGGCGACGGCGCTGGCTCCGATCTGAGGGCACCAACTTTTACACCTTCACCTCGGAGGAATACGAGGTGGCACCACCACCACCAGGGAGGGCACCCCATCAAGCCACTCCCAAAGCGCCTGGATCTCGGAGGGGAGGCGCGGGGAGCCGGGCCGGCCGAGCGCCGCGGAGGGCTGACCCAGCCCCGCCGTGCCAGGGCGCCGTGTGCGCCGTCGTCGGGGGCAGCCCGGCGCTGGGCAACTGGGACCCGGCCGGGCTCAGAGCACGGCGTCGAAGAGCGTGTTTTTTGTTGTTGTTGGTGAGATTGTATAGTCAGGCGAGCTGGCTTGCCTTCGGGGAGCAAGGACCCGGGACCCCTCGAGGCATAAAAGAATCGCGACGGCAGGTTTTTCGCCATGTTCGGACTCGGTGGGCCCTCGCTGGGCCTCGGGACCTTTAAAAAACGACTCAAGATGTACAAACGGTCCCAGGAAATGGGTCGAGACCTCTGGGGGTCGACATCATTTAAAAAGAGACATGACGTCGGTTGGTCTTCAGTTTTGCTCCCCCCTTCTGTTTCTCTCGGCGGGGAATGACCTTCGCCCCCCCTGCTCCTCCTCCTCCTGCTCATCCTCCTCCGCCTCTTCCTCCTCCCCCCCCTCCTCCTATTCCTTCTCCTGTTCCTCCTCCTCGTCCCCCTGCTGCTTCTCCTCGTTGTCGCAGACGTAATCGTCGTCGTCGTCGTCGTCGTCGTCGTCGTCGTGTTCGTCATCGTTGTCGTCGTTGCGCGGCGGGTGCCGCGGAGACATAGTTATTCTCCAATTTTGGTGGGACCCCAGGCCGTCAATACGGGCGTCGAAAGGATACTTAGTTGCCATTGCTAGGGAGAGATTGTCTAGAGACCGATCTCGGTTAGAGGCAGGCAAGTCTCCTTGCATTCGGAGAGCAGGGACACCATCAATGGCACGCCACTGAGGGGAACCCTTCAGCGTGTTGCAGTTGAAGAAAGTGCAGGCTTCTTGACGTAAGCGAGGGAGTAACACGTTGACGGGCTACCAACGACATCGTGTCATTGATAATCGTTCTCCCTCCCGTTGCAATGCATCTCTTCCCCCCCCTTGGGCCCCAACGCCGCCTTCGCAAACAGCGTAAGAGGAGGAGGAGGAGGAGGAGGAAGAGGAGGACAGGAGGAGGAGGAGGACAGGAGCAGGAGGAGGAGGGGGAGGAGGAGGTGGACGAGGAGGACGAGGAGGAGGAGAAGAAGGCAGAAAGAGGAGGCGGAGGAGGAGGAGGAGGAACAGGAGGAGGAGGGAGAGGAGGAGGAGGGAGAAGGAGGCGGAAGAGGAAGACCAGTGTAAACCCAAGAGCCCTCAACGACGTTGAAATAAGCCCTCCCTCCAAGCTCCCTCCGCATAAGCCCCTACAGCTGTTCATTTCCAGGGAGGGAACTGCCTCGTTGGAAGGCAACCGTTTGAAGACCCGGAAGCATGTTAAAACAGTGTTCCTGGGATTCCAACGCCACGGATCAACCTGATCGTTGCGTCTTGACGATCTTCAATCATGCCAGAATGCCATCCCTGGGACGTCAACACTGCGAGCCGACGTAGCTGTTGCACCCTCATAACCATGAGTCTTTCCGAAACACAATTTCTGGTACGTTGACCATGCGATTCCGTGAAGCTCCTGCAACTGTTTGCAACGAATGTACACGGCGCTAAGGCGAAGACCACATTTTGAAACGACCCGCCCTCTATCCGTGAAGCTCGTGCAAATGTTTTAAACAAATGTACGCGGCGCTCAAGCGAGAGCCACATTTTGACAACGGCCCGCCCTCAATCCGTGAAGCTCTTGCAATTATTCAATCGCTTCGCTCATTCTGCCGGCCCGTTTTTGAGCATTGTTGCGTCGATTGGCCGAGTGGTCGTTGGCGGTGTTGAGCTGCAGGGGCGTCGGCTGTTTTCTGAGGCGTTGCGTGGGGCATGATGCTGGGGCGATTCGTCTGGATTTCTTGGGAGTTGTCAGGAGAATCGGTCGCGTTTCAAGGGGCGGCTAGTTGTGTGGTGCTTTGTTGGACTTCGGGTGCCTTCGTGGGGGCCTGCTGGTCGTGGATGGTCACTCTGGGATTTGTCGATGGGGCACAGGGGACATTTGATGCGATGATGGAACCCTCGTGTCCGAGGGTGGCGGGCTTTGAATGCGATCATTGGCTCTTCTTGTCCCGATGTCCGATATCTACTTCTTACTTTCTTAGAGCGGCGGTGCCCTCGCTGTTGGAGGATCGGGAGAGGAAGAAGCACACAGGCACACAGAATCGTCGATCCCGAGGAAAAGCTTGAACATATGAGAGGTGGAGGAGGAAAAGGAGAGGAATAAATAATGGGGATGGAATGTGAATGAAGGTGGTGATGTAGAAGAGTACGAGGAGGAAGAGGCGAATAAGGAGGAAACGGATAATGAAGAGGGAGAGGAGGAGGAGGAGGAGGAAAAGTCTTTGGATGGTTTGTCGTGCCGCGCTTGGAGCCGATGAAGGTCGTCGTCAAGATGCTTGTGTGGGAGGCCTCTTGGTTTCGTCTGGATGGTCTGTGGAAGGCTCGTGGTGGCGCCCATGCGGTGGCGGGCGCCGCCGACGAACAGAAGAGAGGTGCTGAAAAGAAAAACGGAAGGTGAAGAGACGGACAAGGAAGAGAACATGAGGAGGAGGAGGAGGAGGAGGAGGAGGAGAGGATGAGGAAGGGAGGAGGACGTGTGAGGTGAAGACGATGGAGGAGGAGGAGACGAAGGAGGAATGTCGGAGGAGGGAGGGATGAGGAGGATAATGATGAACAGGAAGAAGAAGGAGGAAGAGGAGGAGGATGATGATGAAGCGACGGAGGAAGAGGAGAGGATGGGGAAGGAAGGAGGATGAAGATGATGACGCAGAGAAGCAGATAAGTAGAAGGAGGAACAGAAGGCGGGACAGGGGGATAATGAGGGAAGGTAGCAGGAGGATCGTATCGGAAGCTTTTCGCGGCACGCTTGGGGCCGATGAGGGTTGTCGTCAAGATGTTTCTGTAGGAGGCCTCTCGGGTTTTTTTGGGGTGTCCTCTCATGCAGCCTCAACTCTGCCGTTTGCAGTTTTGAAGCTTCTGGAGGCCTCGTCGGGGCCTTTCGGGTGCCCTGGGGGCCTGATTTGGGGCCTCTCGGGGGCTTCTTGGGACTTCTGGGTGCTTCTTGGGAGCCTGCTGGCGGTCTCGGAGGGGCCCCTGGGGTCGATAAGCTTCAAATGCCATTTCGAGTTCCCTCTCTGGACGCGTCTTGGGCCGTCGTGGAGTCCTCGTGGGCCGTCGTGGAGCCCTCTTGGGCCATCGTGGGCGCATCTTGGGGGCATGTAGGGCCATTTCGGGGCGATATTGGGGGGCTCTTGGGCAGTCTTGGATGCTGTGAGCCCCCGAACGTCGTCTATGCCAGAAATGCACGTTTTCACGAGGGAAAGTGACGATTTTTGCTCGTTGGGGCCCTCTTGGAGGGCGTCTTGAGGTTCTCTTGGAGCTTCTCGGCGGCGTCTAGGGCCATCTGGAGACCATCATGGGCGTCTTGGAGCAATCTTTCGGCGACTCGGGGGCCCTTGGGCCGTCTCGGGGGCGTCTCGGGGCGCTCTGTGAGGCCTGGAAGGCAGCTTCGAAAGGAAAGCCATCTCTGAGTCGACCTTGCCGGGACCTGGTCGGGGTATTTTTCGTCCGGGAGCCCCGTGAAGCCGCCCCGCGCGCGCGAACTAGAATATTGTTAACCAGTTGCTGGAGATCTTAGCACGCCTCCGGCCCGGTGGGCCGCGAATTCAAAACGAAAGCGCGCGCGGCGATTAGGCGGGAGCCGCATTTTGAAAACGATCCGCATTCAGTTCTTTCCTGTTTTGCAAGTGTTTAAACTGAATGTGCGCGGCGCTGATGCAAGAGCCACATTTAGAAAACGATCCGCCCTCAATCTGTGAAGCCCTTGCAAATGTTTGAACCGAGTGGGCGCGGCGCTAAGGCGAGAGCCGCAGTTTGAAAACCACCACCCCTCCGTCTGTGAAACTGTTTCCAATGTTCAAGCTTCAGGGTCATAAGTGGTGAGGGAGTCTCACGCGAAACGCCCAGCCCGCCCCCAAAAATGGCCTCGGGGTGCGACAGGAAAAAGCTATGCATAAGAAAAGGAATGGAGGAGGACGAGGAGGAGGAGGTGGAGGAGGAGGAGGAGGGGGATGAGTGAGAAGGACCAGGAGGAGGAAAAGGAGGATAAGGGGGACG